CACACCATGCTCCATATATTGCTGAACACATAGTGGAAAAAAACCAAGATCTAATAATTTTTTCCCCATTTATTGAACCTGAATTCATTGCAGAGGAAGAGACTGGCTCTTTGAGAAAGATGAAACTGAAGAGCAAATCTTGCTGATGCCAAGTCATAAGGGAAAAAAATATATCCTCTGCAAATAGGCCATAACAAAGCAGAGCATTTGTGTCACCTCATGAGGATCTGTCTCAGTGTCTGAGGAAGGAAGGAACTGAAATTAATTTAGAGACTCTGTTTTAGCATCTGGCAGTAACCAGACCAAGCAAGTCTGTTTTAGGCACGTCTGTACTTTCCCCAAAGCAGCACAAGGCAAAATGACAATGTTCAAACTGCCTTAACAGAGCTCCTCTGAGCAGTATTACAGACTAGAATTAGTCTATGATACTTTAAAGCTTCTGTCCCTATATGGTCAAAAGCTTATCCTTTTATTAGAGATCTGTAGTATTTTTACAGAGTCAGAGATTCTTGCATGCTCTTGCCCTAAACCAGGACACATGCTTAATTGCATGTAGTTTATATCAAATACTGCCATTTTAAATACTCTGACTACTTAGTTAAGATTATGCTCACAGAGAAACACAACCCCTCAGCCTGTAGCAGCATTAACATGCTACAAGAATACTAATTGTCACATAAATTCAAGATGAGAAACAGCCTTTTGAGCAGCAATGTACCTGTTCTTTAAATACCAGTAAACTGTGGCACATCCAAATCCTGTAGCCAGGCTCACATGTGACTGTGGCAGGGGAAGAGAAGACAGGAAGGTGGGGCTGCAGCGGCCATCCTGCCAGGTGACCAGGTGGCTGACCTTGTCTGGCTCAAAGGCAGGGCCTGTGTCACTCTCTGACCACTTACAACCTGAAAACAAAACAGAATCCAAGAAATCCAATGAGTCCCTGCTGCACAGCCTACCTGACATTCCTCATTTCTGAACACACCTGGTCATTTGTTAAATATATCAGAAACAGAGCCAGTAGAGACTGTAATCAAATTAGTCTTAGTTTTCAGCCCTAGATAACATCATAATGCAAATCACCCTTTGTGACACAGAGGGTGGTATTCAAAGCCTTCCTTCTCTTGAAGAGAGATATTAAAGACACATCTTAAATAACAGGTGAGCCTCAAAAAAATCCAACCACAGTCTGCTATGGGAGGAGAGGAGCTGGCTTGGCAGCTCTCACATAAAAACCTCAGCTGGGATGTGCCACATCACCACCTGGAGAATGCTATCTCAGTATGAACCGCCCAGGATGGACAGCACAAAGCTGCAGCACCTTTGGAGCCAAAGCAACAAGAAACCTGGATCTGTGAGTATTAAGCAGTGGACGGCAAAATGCTAAAGAGTAAAACACTCATGTACTACACAATAGTTTCACCAAAGGTAGGACAGGGCTCAATTCATGATTTAATTTGGTTTCCTAGTCCAGCATGATCATTTTGAGCACAGAACACCACACCCTTGAGGAAACCTTGACATTCTTTCACTGAAGAGGAGAGGCTGGGCTCAAGCACTGTTTGCCAGCACATTCCAGGGCACAGCTCTGACCTCTCCTAAGCCATCCCTGGACACAGGGCAGGGATAGGACAGGTCACTCACTCTGGAACCAAGGCAAACTCTTGGGTTTTGGAGAGGAAGCAGAGTTTCAAGAGAAGAGACTCAGCTTCCTGACTCGCACAAATATGGCTAAAAAACATAATTCTTGGGTTGGATACAGGGCTTGGAAGTCACACTCAAACAGTAAAAAGCAACCCTGAAGGCTGGGAGGCCATGAGAAATATGCAAAATAAAACACATACTTTTTCTTGTTCCCTCAATACCCTTTTCCATCAAATCTGTTTGAACTGAATTTCCAATGGACTTGTTTTTCTAGTTTTAAATGGATTCTAAGAAATATTATTAGTCATAAATCTAACCCTAAAGGATGCCATTAAAATTTTTATTTGTGTCCCAGAGGTCCTGGATTCACTTAGTCCACTCAAAACAAATGAGAGCAAACACTCTCTTTCACTTGGTAGAAATGAAACTGAAGTGGCATGTGGCTTTAGGACATAAAATATTTACCAATATGACATAAGGATCTGTGCCTATGAATACACAAAGCTTTGTTATGCAGCTCCTGGGACAGCTGGAAAGCAACAACAGTTCATTCAGTCCATCAGCCTTTGGACTTCTTTCTTTCTAATCATTTTTAGTATTTAATGTAAAATTACAGCCAGTAATGAATAGTACAGTGCCTCTTCAAGCAATTAAGACCCTGACAACTTCTGGCAGGCAGTGACCAGCACTTTTGGGAAATCTGCTCTGTGGTTTCCAATAAATCTTTACTTAATCTGCATAACTCCTGATATAATAAAACTTGTATAATTGTCCAGATGAGCACATTATAGGGTTAAATGAAAAAAGACATGGACCCACATTCTGGAAGCCGTAGACTTCAGTAGGTTTATAAGGCATGAGCCAAGAAGATAATCCATCCCTATCTCAAAATGTAAGGCCTGGATTCTTCAAATATTCTCACTATCACAAGGATTATCTGGGTATTTGCACAACCAAGCCCCACATGACTACCTCACTGCAGCTGATTTTGTTTCTAAGGTCTTGGCAAGCAGCTGAGCATCCACAATCCTGACCACAGTCTTTTCTCAGCTCCTACTAACAGAAACATAAGCAACAAAATGAATGGAACATGACAGTCTATGTAGGACTTGCTAGGAAAAAGAAAAGTCTTGGGATTCTGGGTGGGGGGGAACAGAGTTATTGAGATGCTGGCCAACATCTAGATAAGGGTTTTATGAGGTGAATAAATCCCCCTGCAAGTTATTCACATGATGCAGAAGTTCTTTGAAATGGCAGTAGACAGCATGTGATGGAGAAACAATCAACAAGCCACAAATATGCTATTCCTCCTTTATATAAATAACTGTGCTGACTCTGCAGGGATGTCATTAGGCTAACTCCTTTTTATCATGAACTATAGTGAGTAGCTGAAATTTTAGTAAAAAAAGCAAAATTCCCATAAGAGATCTCCTGTTAATTCTGTTTTAGAGAAGACCAAAGTGACACAGCAGTTTAATCACAGAATCACTTCCCTGTTACAATATAGTTTTCTGCATCATAATAGTGTGAGCAGGAATGTTAAAGAATGAATGTTACCTTTATCACTTTTCCAAAACACAACCCCATGCATTTGTCCAGAAATACCAATGTGGGTGACTTGCTGAAGCTGCTGTTGAGGCAGAGCAGCAAGGCATTCATTCAATGCTCTAATGATTTTCTGGACATCCTGCTCCATTCCCTGCAATCACAAAGCATTATCTTGAGCATGAAGCCATTAGGATTCATTCAGTGTATTTATTAAACAAGGCTGCTTTAATCAGAAGCGAAGGACAGAATTCTTTTAGTTCAATAGGATTTTTTAGAGCAATATTCACTACTAAACTGTAAAAAGAAAATAAAAGAAAAATTGCAGAAAACCACACAAACCCACAAAAACTAAAAATCAATAGTAGCAAGTTGAGCCTCTTAAACTTAAGGCAAAATAATTTTTTATTTCCTAAATAACCACATTCAACCATAATTTTAAAAAAATCCATGACAACTGACTATAAACTTTCATTAATTCACCTTATCTACTGCTCTTCATTTTCCTCACAAAGAAAATTACCCATGTGTTCAGACAGGAGTGCAGTCTCCTCTACCTCTTCCTAAAGCTCCTCCCTATTTACTCACTGATGATTTTGATTATGCTGATATTCCATTGCTGGATATTCTATTCCTAGAACCACCCAGCAAACTGACAAAACTGCTTGATCCCCAGGAGAAGCTTTCACACTTTCAAAGGTTCAAGTTACTTTGTGACAGATCAGTATGAAGATTACAAAACTATTACAACAGAGTCTACAAATAAATGTGAACTTTGTGCATAGGTACTTTAGGCTGCATAAATTGGCAGGAGGAGAGTTGGCCTGTTTGGTATCCTTGGTATCAGAAACAGTGCACAGTTTTTATGATTCTGATTAATCCTTTTAAGATTGACCAACACAATGGATGTAAAGCTCTTTAACAGAAGTACTTGTTCCTGGTTATTTGCACAGGGAGTTTCCAGTTATGATTCCACCTCACACTGAAGTGCAAAATAAAATACCCTTCCAATTGGCAAGTGCATGCTGCTTTCTGATGGGGTGTGTTAAAGATCGTTTTAGAGTGTCTTAGGCAATATTTTAAAACCTGGATCCTTCTTAAGTCGAGCAGCTCTGCTTGACTTCCTTGAACGGTGAGCAGGAGGTGTTTTAATTCTGCTTTTTGATATCCAGAAACACGCTGCCAATCTAGGCACAAAAACAATCCAAGAAAGCCACTGGACTCTGCCCAATGTACCGAACACCTCAGCCACTGCAAGGCAAGGCCAGTGTCCTGCAATTTCCCTCAGCAGCCCTTACCTGCGGTGCAGCCCCCAGGCTGTCGCCGTGTGCCTGCGTCTCCCTGGAGCAGCACTGTGCCAGCGCCAGCCCTCGCTCTGTCCCTGTCACCAGCGCTGCCTTCACCGACGTCGTGCCCAGGTCAATGCCCAGCACACAGGTGGGCCCAGGCCCGCCCGCCGCGGCCATGAGGGGACGGCTGTCACCTTGCCCAGCACAATCAGAGGGCCCAACACCCACCGTGCTGAACCCGACACGGCTCCCGGTGCCGCAGGGCGGGCTCCCAGGGACGGGGGCAGGAGCGCGACCTGGACTTCACCCTCAGGCTGAAGGTGCCTCTCTGCTTTCAGCGCTCCCCAGCCACTACCCCTCCACTGTGACAGTGACAAACCGCCCCCTCCCCAGCTGACCTGCACAGCTTTAAACCACGCTTTTTATTAAAAACAAACCACCACGGCGCCGAGCCCGCCCCGTCCCTCCGCACAGCTCTGCCCCCTCATGGACCCGCTCCGCCACACCCAAGATGGCCCCCGGGGGCGGCCGCAGCGGCGCGGTGGGCACTGGGCGGGGAGTCCACAGGCCATAGCCTCACGTGAGAGCTGAAAAGGGAAGAACCGGGACGGCGCCGGGCTCTGAAGGAGGTGGGTTCCCGCCCGCTCCCCGGTACCGCCGCTTCGGCAGCGGCGCGTTCCAAAGCACCAGGTACCCCGCTTCGCTGGGGCGCCTGAGGGGAAGGCGGTAGAACTACAAGTCCCAACATGCACCGCGGCGCGGCGCCGGTGGCGAGGGTCTGGCAGAGGCGTGGGGGCTGCCGAGATTTGTAGTCCCGCGCGTTGGGGTGGGGCGGGTCCGTCACGGGAGCTGCTTTGAGGTAAAAGATGTGCCCAGGGAGGCCGGGCAGACAGAAGGAGGGGAAGGTCGGTGCCCTCCGAGAGGTGCTGAGGGTCCTTTGGCCGGGCTGGAGCCGTGATGCTGCGGAGGGAGCTGTTTGCCGCGGCTTCCAGCGGAGGGGATGGGCTGTGTGGGTGCTGAGGAAAGCTTCTCCCTGCTTTTTCTGCAGTTTTTCCACTATGAGGACGCGAAACCTGCTCCCCGCCCTGCTGAGCCTCTCGCTGGCGCTGCTGGGGCCTGGCGGTGAGTGTTTGGTCAGCACAGCTTGGGCCCACAGGGCTCCTGACCAGCAAGAGATGGAAAAGGGTAGCTCTTTAGTTATAGTTACCCCATTACATGCCTCCAGGAATACCTGTGCCACACTTCCCATCAGCTCTTCTCTCACACGTTACCTGGGCTTCCTGTGCTCCTGCACTGTACTGAGGCACTGGTTGTGGACCTCGTGCTCTGAAATCACCTCTGCAGATTAAATAGTGCCTGGGGAGCTCCTCTGCACTTCTTACCAACACTGTGTAACATGCAGCAGCAGGAAAAAAAGTGTCCAGGCCAACCTGTGCAACCTGTATCTCTCTCTGTTTCTGTAAATGTACATTCTCTTAGACATCTGGGTACTTGGTTTGAATTTGTGGCCCAAGAAATAATTTTACATGAAATTTGGGGCATTTGTGACTCCTAGATCACTAGGAGCACATCAAGAACCAGGGTGGGTTTGCAGTACCCTATAACCTTTCCTTGGCATGAACTTTTCTTGCACTTCAAGCATTTAAATTACTTTCTTGCAACATGCTCAAGCGACAATTGCTTACTTCTTTTTTTAAGTTGTTTGGTTGCCTTGAAATAAACTGTACTCTCCCCTTCGCTTTTCATCGTGTGTACTTAAGTGTAAAATGTCTATGGCACAAAAAAAAAGTAGGTTGTTCTTCTGAAGGAGCTGTTCATAGTAATTGAGATTTGTGTGGGTGTTTTTCCCCCCCCCACAGATGGAGCTATTGTGTTGTCAGTCCCTGAAGTGGTTTCTCTAGAAAGTGGAAGTTCAACAAATGTCACTATCTCTCTGAGGTAAAATCATTATTGCAGCTTTACATGGGCTGTCCTCCATAAGTAAATTTACAGTTCTTCCCTTCCTAAAAATTGATGCTTAAGAGAAACTTGCATTTCCTAGAAGGATCATGTCCTGGACAAATGCTCAGAGGAGTTCTTTGGGAAAGCTGTGCAGGACTCTGTCACTTGGAAAGGTTTCATTTGTTTTATTTTGTCTTTCTGCTGTAATTTCTGTCCTTCATCATCCCAAGTACATGTGCCTTGTTTCTGCCCTGTTGTTCAGCAAAGGGTAATGAGCACCAGGACAGGAGAGGATAATATTGGATCCTTTGGTGACTTTGCCACTTGTGTGGAAAAGAGGGAGGTACAATATGACCATACAACCTTCACTGGATCAGATAAAAGCAGCAGCGCAATACTCACATGCTTTGGTGCTGGTTCCTCTGAGTATGAGGCATGTTCTGTTGTGTGTGGGCTGCTTGTTGCTGAGAGGATTTAGCAGATGCTCCCCTGCAGCCACCTCTGAACTCAGGCACCAGCCTAACTTGTTTTTTGTGCCTTCTCAGGGCTCCACTAAATGAGACACTGGTGATAACTCTTAATATTACATACTCCTCAAAGCACAGCACCATTGTTGAACTTCCTGATGAGGTAAGTGACAGAACAGACTTTTGCAAAAAGCTCCTGCTATTATGGTGCAACTCCTTCTTCCCTCTGCTCTGCCTTGCAGGTACAGTTCCCTGCAGGTCACACTAAAGCAGACTTCCAAGTGAAAGCAGATGATGTGGGACAAGTAACAGTTTACCTTTATGCCAATAATTCCAACTTAACTGGGTGAGAAACTGGTCTTTTGTTCTTCTTATTATCCTGTAGCTCCCTAAAAGTTGGGGTAACTCCTCCTAGGAGTTAAATGGGACTTGGGTGGGATGCAGTTAAGAAGATGTGGTAACCCTGCAGCAAATCCCCAAGTATTCAGATAAATAGAGGGCACAGAAGCAGAGTGGTGTCTTGGATTTAATTACAAGATGACTGAGTTCTCATGGTTCCTTAGTCTGGTTTTAATAGTGCCTTCCAAAAGTATGAAGATTACATGTCAGCTTTTCTGCTCTGGGAAGCATTTGGCTGTCAGTGTCCAGTGGGATACTGTTCTTATTGTGCAGGATTCGTTCTGGAGTTCCTGGGGTGCATCAGTTAGGGGAGCCGTCTCCTCACAGATGCCGGCTCTCCCTCCTAGGAAAAGCCTAGCCAGATGGAGAAAGTTGGATTGTATTTGCTTGTGGCCCAGATGTTACTGAGCAACAGGATACTCCTGTTTTACTTCCTTGTTTTTCTTCTGCTTTTGAGACTCGAGGCAAAGGCAGAGGTGAGCACGTGGAATGCTCACAGGACAGCACAATCATGAGGCATGAGGAGTGCAGCTCTGCTCTTGCCTAACAGACCCTGTGCTGAGAGAGTGAAAGCCACAGGCACAAGGTGACCTTTGGGGACATTCCCATGATAAAAGGATGGAAAGGAAATACTCAGGCATGGGAGATGTCCCAAACATAACAAGGTCACAAATGAAAAAGGGAGCAACTCAGTTTAACCCAACCAAATCTTTATTGTCTCGTCTCAACACCTGGACTCTGTTTTCTCTCTCAGAGCAGAACAAGATAAAATCTCCTGAAAACATTATGAATTAACAGATTCTTTTTGCATTAACCATCAGGCCTAGGATTCAATTTCAAGTGATTCACAGCATCATAGCAAGATATGCTAATGAGGTGATTGGCTGGATCTATTTCCTCGCCTGGTCCGTCTCCTTTTATCCTCAACTCTTTGAGAACTGGCGACGGAAAAGGTAAAGAGATGTGTCTATGAGTCACTAAAGCACTTCTGCAAATCATGTTCATAGTTTCAGTTACATCCATCTTGGTTATTGGGAATTAACTGTGAAAAGATGGGGAAAAAGGCAAAGCTGGGGTCTGAATAATTGCAGCATATAAGCTTTTATATATGCAGGTTAGAGGGAAACCAAGTGCATCCTACAAACACCTGATCCTAAGATTTGGCATCCAAAATGGATTTGTGATAGAGGAGACTTCCCCATTCCTTTTGGTGCCATGTTGTAAATCATCTGGCTGAGCCAGCTGTGTTCATCACACCTCCTGGTAATGTCATCAGTAGGCCAGCTCCCCTTTGAGCTAAGTGACTCGAAGTAGAAACATTATCATATATGAAAATGAAACTATTTGATGTGGAAATGATGCATTTTTGCTTTATGGATTCAGACTGGAAAGGCTTTATCAGACAGGCTGACCTCATGGAAAGGTGCAGTCAAAAAGCAGAGACATAAATTTGTTCCATGAGAGCTCTGTTATTTCATCCAGCTTCCTGATGAACTCGGGGCGTTGTGTAGTCATAACGCTTGAAGCTTTTGCTTACACCAGAAACTGCCTATACTTGAGGACATTCTAGGGTCAATTTGTCCCTGGATCTGCCTGTAACTCTCAAATGCACATTTCTCTTTTTTTCTTTTCTCCTTCTCTAGTGTTGTTGGACTAAGCTTTGACTTCATAGCATTAAACCTTACTGGCTTTATAGCATACAGCGTGTTTAATGTTGGGCTCTTCTGGAGTCCCTTGATTAAGGTGAGCATGGTTCTCTCGTAACATGTGCTGGGGGTATGTGCAGGAGGGAGTTAAGACACGTGGCTGGTTTTGCTTTCTCTTACATTTAGGAGGAATTCCTGGTCAGTTATCCCAGTGGGGTGAACCCTGTGGCCATCAATGATGTTTTCTTCAGTCTCCACGCAGTAGCCCTGACTCTCCTCACCATCGTTCAGTGCTGCATCTACGAGGTGTGTCTGGTTGCTGGGCTCACCTGTGGGCTCTGCCAGAGCTCCCTCTGCCGGCCACCTCCCCGCTCCTTTTGGGCTCCAAAATCCCAAATTCCCTGCACTTCCACCGGCCTTTCCAGGAGCAAGGCTTCACAGTTCAGCTGCCTTCAGCTTTCCTGAGCTAGCAGCACCTCCATTAACCTTATCTACTTCAGCCTCATGGATGTTCTGAGCTTATAAGTAAACTCCTTAGGGACTGAAAATAACTGAGGCAAACAGCCAAGTTCATAAAGTTCCCAAACAGATGTCTAGCCATCACATAGATTACAGCTCTTCACAGCACAAATGCTTTGCTTTTTCCTTGGAGCATTCTTCAATGCTATGACAGGACTACAGACACTCCCTGCAATTCAAACAGTTTTTTCAACTTCTTTCCTAAAACAGCTGTAAATGCCCTTTCATAATTCACACTTTTTCAGGTGATACTGATTGTTACAGTCAAGTGGTTCTTACTTAATCCCATTGATTGTTCCAGTCAGGTGGTTCTTTGTTCAGTTTTCATTGTAAAAGCCTCTCATCTGAACAGGCCAATTTTCTCTAGATGGTAACTATTTCTCTTTTAGGATTCTTCCTTTGGTCATGCTAAACATAAAACTGTAACAGCCCACCTGTCATCATTGCCAGGTACTACAGACTTTTCTAGTGAAGAATTAGAAAGCAACCATAAATCTTCTACCATAATGGTATTATCAGCCTTTTGTACATACAGGAACTCTTGATCTCATCAGATTGAATTTTGGAAATTTGTTACAGATTATGCACCATAAATACTCAAGAATACTGTTCCCTCCCGCTCAGGGACAGCAGTGTTTTAAATGACTGATATGAATATTGCTCATCAGGTCTTGCTAACCTCCAGCTGGTTGTTGTAGCACTTGCTTAATTTTAAAGTTCTCCTGTGGTACCAGCCTGACTGGTAAAACAGGTTTGGACTGTAGGGTTGCAAACTGTATCTTTGTGTTTGGGGATGTGTAATGTGGCCAAAATGTATCTATTTCAGAGAGCAGGTCAAAAAGTATCCAAAGTTGTTGTTGGACTCCTGGCACTTGCGTGGATCTTCACCTTCACAACGCTGTTCCTGGCTGCAGCTGAAGAGATGACATGGCTGCAGTTCTTGTTCTGCTTCTCCTACGTTAAGCTAGCAGTCACACTGATAAAATACTTCCCTCAGGTAAAAGTGAATTATTCTGCTTGGATTCCATATCCCTGCCACCCTAAGCCTGCAGTGTGTGCTCTTGAAAGTCTGAAGAGACTAAACCACCAATGATTATTTATTAATAGTGACAACCCAGTAGAATTGTACTGAAATCTGCTTGAAAATCAATCCCAAGTGCCTGTGCATGACACTCTGACTGACTTCTTGTCACACTCCCAGGCCTACATGAATTTCCGTCGGAAGAGTACGGAGGGATGGAGTATTGGAAATGTGTTACTGGACTTCACTGGTGGAAGCTTCAGCCTTCTACAGATGTTTTTGCAGTCATACAACAATGGTAAGCCTGGAACTGAGGTGCTGGAGCCTGTCTTAATGGGGTGGGAGGTCCCACTACAAAGCAGATAACAGTAAGTTACCTCAGAAGAATGATCTTTGTGCTGTGTTGTGGGGAGATGCTCCTGTAGAAACAATAAAGAATCTGTTCATATTCCCTCAAGTTATAAAATGAAGTAGCCATCCTGAAGGAAGCACAGGAACAGTTATTAATTAGCTTTGTGTAAGATGTGTACTGCAGTCAGTCTTGGGTGCATCTGAGCAGTCCAGGTAATAGGCATGAACTTTTCTAAAGTGTCTTAAGACAAAACTACACTTGAGGAGTCAGACTTAACTCTAATTTTGTGTTTGACAGATGAGTGGAGGTTAATCTTTGGAGATCCAACCAAGTTTGGCCTGGGTGTCTTCTCCATTGTCTTTGATATTGTTTTCATGGCCCAGCACTACTGCCTGTACAGGAGACAAGGGTATGAACCTTGTGAATAACAAACATCACTGAACTTGTCCCTAGCCTGTCTGAGGGCTTTCAAGATTCTTGCTGCAGTTACCAGAAATACTGATTCTGATCTGTATGTGACTTGATCCTCTCTGGGCTGGAACACAAACCGTTGCCTTGCCAAGCACTGACTGCCAGATGCCTTAAGGACAGCAAGCTTTCAGCTGCACATGGGTGACTCGTGCCTGTTGAAGCTGCAAACACAGCTCAGTGGGAGCTGTCCAAGCAATACATGGCTCTTTTTTCACCAACCACAGGGAAGAGAAAGACCAAAGTCATGTCTTTCTGATTGGAGATGAAGCACAAAGAGCAGAATTCTGTCTTCCAAAAATCTGAGATCACGTTTAAGCAACCACTTAAAATCTTTAAGTAATGATTGAAGACTGTCTGTGGATCCAAGTGCTGCTGCTGACCTTTCCCAGACAGTTCACAGTCCACCACCACTCAGGCTAACCACAGTGGTACATCACAATAATGAGGTTGGTAACAAATGCACAGATATTAAAATTTGAACTCTTTATTAAAAAAAAGAAAATCCTAACAAACAGAAACTGTATTCTTATTTCACTGAAAGCTCTTTCAAAGGTGCTAAGTAATTAGAAGGAAATCTATGCATTTATACTTGAATGCTTAAAACCTAATGTGTCTTTCTAGGTGTCATCCTAAGGAAAACTAGATCCTAGGTGAGGTTTGACAGTTCCCCACCAGTGAAACTTATTTTTACTTAGTAATTCCACAATCTACTCTTGAGCCAAAAAAAAGGTCTCAGCTGGAGGCACCCAAGTGATGTGGCACTTTTAAATGGAAGGAGAAACAGTTCAGGAAAACCAGCTTTGTTTTATTGTGTGTAAAATCAAGTGAAAAAAGCAGTACAAATAGCAGTGTATCTTTATAGTAACAAAAACAACTCCAACTTGAAAGACTTAAAATTTACTACTGAATTCTTAAGTTACAAAATTTCAAAGCAGGATTGTAGTAATTCCAGATATAAAATTGGTAAGTAGGCATCTGCTGGTGTGCACAGAAGTCTGAGATGCATCAATCACAATGTACATGGCACAGCAGTAAGGTATTGAATAAATTAGTCTGTCACCTCCTCATGCTCTATTTACAACAGCTTACCTCAAGGCTGCTTAAGGAAACTATAGATATGTATAGATCAGTTGAAGAGGATTAAAAACTCCAGATTTTGGATAATTGTAAAGCTAACTGGCTAACAAACCACAGGATGCTAGATCATGGACTGAGGGTTGCAGCAAAAATCTTCAGTCCTGTGGCATGTTGATTTAAACCACTTAGTATCCTACTAGAAGTTTAAATTTGGTCAAGAGGCACTTCTGCAAATTACTAGCATATTCATCTCTTCCATCCAATAAATCACTGATTTAAGTAAAGTCTTCTAAAAGACAAACCAAAATCCCTCCCATTTCAAGTCTGATAGAAGTGGAATGAAGAACTGAAGACTACAGCTATGAGCAAGATTTCCGGTAAGTTCAGGAACATTGTTTTGTTTCCTGCTTCATATTCCTTTAAATTAAACTCAATTCATCTGATGGTATAAATTTGGAACAAGAAGAGCTCAGGTTTTGCCCTGACAGTGAGGCTGAACTGTAGTGTCCATGGAGTTGTAGTGTACTTCACAGGCATAGATCTGACACTTGTGTGTTGCTCAGTTGTTTCTTGCCTGAAGAGGCTGCTTTGTCCAGGGAATCTTTGCAGGAAAGTGTAATGCCCCAAACCCTTCAACCACTCTATCTTGCACACAGTGAAGGATTAGTACAGTGCTCCTCCCCACAGCACTGTGCAACTCTTAACTCTGGCATTTGAATTTGGTAGCAGGGGGGACAGGACAGTTCCCTTCTAAAAGCTTAGGCACAGCAAACCCTCTGGTATCCCATAGCAGAAACAACATTTCCTCCTAAAATAGGAGGCTTTTGTGCTACAGAAGAATCCTGTCCAAGTTAAGGCTTTTCCAGTTGCTTTCAGGTAACTTGTGTCTGTCCTGTCCTGAAAGCCATGACTACAGAAGTCTTGCCATGTACCTGCAGGGCAGACTTTAGAGAGGCACTTTGCTGAGGGGAGTATTGTTCTACTACTGCCAGTTACACCAGAAGAAGTTAAAATAAAAAAGTAGTGTTTACCACAGGTAGAAACATGCACACCTTCCAGAAAAGCTGTTCCAGTCTAATATTTCAGTCTTTCTTTGATACCAGTCTACATATCTCCCTCCCCAGCTAGATGATGGATTAGGACATCATGGATTGTTGCACAGCCTTCTGCAGGGACTGCCTGGTCACCAGCAGCCGTACCACCTCCTCATTCCTTTTGGTCAGCCTCTTCCTGGCCTGGTCATGGGTCACCATTGTCATATCCCAGCCATTCACCTGGGAACAAAAAAAAAACTTAAAATGAGGCAGGTGCAGGGACTCACAGGTGTCCTGTAACTGTTCTATCAGAACCATGTAGTAGATAAGGTTATGCCACAGCTCAGTTTATTTATAAAACCCACAAACTGGCCTGGGAAGTACCCAGACGATTATTTTTCCCAGCAGATGCTTCTCTGCATTGTGCAGCTGTCTTATCTTGGTGCTTACCTGCATGATCTTATCTCCAATCTGGAGTCCTGCAACTTCTGCTGGGCCTCCCTCTGTCACCCTTGTTACATAGATACCCTGGAAAGAAGGAATAAGTGTTAATCTACTAAATATGGGAGGATTTGGTACTCAAGGGACGTTTGACTGACAATGCTAAAAAAACTCTGTAGTGTTATCATGAGATTTTAGTTAAAAACAGACGTGTGCAATTTTGGAAAATGGAAAAGGTGGAGAAGTCACTTGAATAATCTCAGCCTGCAAGTGATAATGGGGCAACAGAGTAGCTGTGGTAAAGGGCAGAGGGCAGATGATGATTCGGGTATCTCAGCCTTTGGGAGAGGGAGTTGCTACAGAAAAAGACTATCTGACCTTGTCAGTCTTGTCTTCAGAGAACGGATTCTGAGTAGGATCCTGATCAATGCCACCCCCAATGCTGAATCCCAAAATCAAATTGTCACCTTGACGAAGCTTATGTATTTCAATTCTTTGCTGGAAAGAGAAAGAGATCAAATAGCTGAGTATTGTGATGAGTGAAGAAATTTCAAATGCATTTCAGACACAGGTACTTCAGATCCAGTTAGATTGTCTTTCACAGAGATCCCATGACACAGCCCAGCACCTCAATTACTCAGAGCTTTTCTGCCTGCCCAGAAGTAGAAGGGAACACTAAAACTAGAGCATGTCTCTTTAAACATGACTCATGCCTTGATAACCAGCAGTCACTTATGACCGGCTTCATCTTGCTCGTTATCCTCATGCCTTATGTTCCTGCTAGTCCTATCAGCAGAAATAACAACCTATTATTAGGATGGTTCTTTTTCAGGATAACTTTTGTAACCCGGGGCAGGTTCCTCAGTGCCTGATGCACAAAGGCATCTGACCAGCTTTGTGCATTATGTCAGCACTGTAGAAATGCCAGCTGGTGCAATTCCTGAGCCAGGGTAAAAAGCCACAGTCTTAACTGGCATAATAATCTCTCAAAAGCTGCTTTGACCCTAACTAATGAAAGATGTTCCTGCTCATTACAGGGGGGTGGATGAGATGACTTCCATGGGTGGCTTCCACCCTCAACCATTCTGTGATTCTCCTCTCACAGCCCTGGCACACAGACCCTGAACTTCCCCACTGAATTCCAAACTCCCTCGGCATAGCATCCGTGTCCTCAGCTGGGGCCACATACCCAAGCACAACCCCCGTTACCATTCCAGCCAGGGGAAATCACAGAGTCCCTTACTTGCACTGTGTGTTGATTAAACCATTATCTCACTTTAACAGCTCTGCTTCCTAAACCCCTCCCAGACAAGCAGGTGCCTATCCTGCCCCTGCCCTCGCAGAGCGGGCACCGCACCGAGCTTGGCCTCAGCTACCGCAAGGTCTCGGTACCGGGAGAACGCGCGTCTCAGCGGGGCTCTTTTCTCTCTTTTCTCAAGCAACGCCCGAGCAGCCCTGGCCAGGGGTCGGTCCCTCCGCCCGGCGGAGATTCCCCTCTGTCCTCCCACCCGGTATCGCAGACGGAGAATCTGACAGCCCCCGCGGCGGGGAGCGGCCGCCGGGGCGGCAACCGGGGCCGGCGGCGCTGCGGAGCGAGCGGCCGCGCCCTTCGCCCGCGGACCGGGGCTGCCCGGGGAAATCCGCCCTCCGACAGCCCGCAGGGCACTGCCGGGGACAGCGGCACCGTCACCTGTGTCCCCGTCACCTGTGTCCCCGTCCCTGCCCCTCAGACTTCGCTCGCTCCTTCCATGCACTCCGCCCCCGCCGGGTACCTCCGCTCACTGACAACGCGCAGGGCGCTCCCGGGCACCACCGGCGTCCCCCTCTCCATCCCCGCCAGCAGCCCCCAGCACGGTATTCCCGAATAGCGGTGACCGGCTGGCCCGGTACAAACACCATGCCCACCCCTCCCGTGCCCGCTCACCACCACGGCGGTGACCGGCTGGCCCGGTACGAACGCCATGTCCGCCCTGTGGCCGCCGCCGCCCGAACAAAAGCGCCTCGCCCAGCCCCGCCCCCCGCTCCCCGCCAGCCAATTCGGCCCCACCCTCTCTCCCCATCAGCCAATCCGGAGCCGCCCCGCCCGCGCGGCCGTGTCCCGTCGGGCCCCACGCCAAGATGGCGGCCGGGCGGCGGCGCGGTCGGGGCGAGCCGGGCCCGGCGGGCGGCCCGCGGTGACGGGCGCTGTGCGGGGTCTCTTGGCGCGGTGTGAGGCCTGACGGAGCGGCGGGGCTGCACGCAGTGGATGAGAGGTATGGAGGAAGGGGAGGACGGGCGGGAGGGCCGGCGGGGCTCTCCTGACAGCCTGAGGGCGGGCGGCCTCGTACAGCGTGTGTTTGCTTCACCTTAGTGTCGCTGCGAGCCGGGAGGTGGCCGAGCCCTGCGCGGAACCATGGCCGCCGTGGTGGCCAAGCGCGAGGGGCCGCAGTTCATCAGCGAGGCGGCGGTGCGGGGTAACGCGGCCATCCTGGACTATTGCCGCACCTCGGTGTCCGCCCTGTCGGGCGCCACGGCCGGGATCCTCGGCCTCACCGGCCTGCACGGCTTCATCTTCTACTTCCTGGCCTCCGTCCTGCTCTCTGTGCTGCTGGTGCTGAAAGCCGGGCGGCGGTGGAACAAGTACTTCAAGTCGCGGAGGCCGCTGTTCACGGGGGGGCTCGTGGGAGGGCTCTTCACCTACGTCCTGTTTTGGACTTTCCTGTACGGAATGGTTCACGTGTACTGAGCAGCTCCGGGCGAACGGAGCGGGAGGACTGTTGCCAAAAGTCACTACACAATAGCTCAGCTCACCTTCCAAACTGTTGTCCGTGGCTCGTGTCGTTAATGCTGTTGGTAAATTATGTCCAAGTACAAATTAATCAGTAGCGCTGTTCTAATTAAACTGAATGTGAAGCACCGCTTGGATGCCTCCTGT